TCTGTCAAGCATATGTTGAAGTCTGCCATCTGATGGAATGAATGGTAGATACGAGATAGTTTCTTCGGGTTGTGATTCAGCTACTTTTTTGAAACTCCCTGCAAGGTCATCTTCTGTCATGTTTTATTGTTTTTAGTTTTCACAGAGTATCGTGGTGTTGTTCTTGTCATTTCATTGGGCAATCACATTTTTTACTCCTGCTCTTTCAGAGAATCACCATCAAAGAAATCAGGAGCCATCCATGGTTTTTGAAAAACTTGCCAAGGGAACTGACTGAGGCAGCTCAAGCTATTTACTACAGAAAAGACAACCCAACTTTTTCTGTCCAAAGCAATGAAGAAATCTTGAAAATAGTTGAAGAGGCTAAAGTTCCTGCCCCAGTATCTCACTCTATTGGAGGCTTTGACTGGGGAGGAGGAGAAGATGGAGATGCCAAGGAAGAAGAGGTAGAGGAGGAAGAAGATGAGAATGAGAAGAGAGTTAAGGAGGCTCATGCTCGTGGAGAAATTAAGCTCACTTGATTAATGCATTCTTGATTCTTTCCAAATAATTAAGATCTGGAGTTTGTTTCAGTGCTTGTATAAAGTCAGTTTCTATCTAGGCCATTGTGTTGAATAAGTATTTGTAAATTTGTAGTATATTGGCATGGGAAAATTTTAGCGTGGTACTACTGGTCTTGGAACTATTATGATCCCAGACTACCTCTGAAAGTCAAGTTGATGGTTTTCCTTTTGGGAGTTAGGATTAGCATAATGTATTAAGGGTTTATTATTGTTTAGAGAAATAGAAAGATGATTCCTTTAACGGCAATTCCAATTTAGTGTTTTTTGGGGAGGTTCGAATGGTTTTATAAAAACAGGGCTATTGACATTTTAGTACTCATGCATTTTTGTCTCTATTGAGTTAAGATAGCAATATATTTCACAAGAAAACCTCAACTGTACAAAGTACAAACCAAGTGAGGAAATAGAACAAGAGTGCAGAAAACAGCCCCAAAAGCGTAAAATTAGACCACACTAAGAAAGCTTCACACCTCATGACTGCACAGCAACACACTTTCTACTTATTCATACCTAAGTATGCTTTAGGATTTAGATATGTAGCTTGAAGCTATGCTAGTTGTTACCCCGGCTACGTTGGAGATTGTTCTTGATAAGATGCAGCTCCTTGAGAACTATACTCGTGAGCATACGATCTTGAGGCGATTCCACAGAACATGCCACACCAATCCTAATCATTGAGACTAGGCAATCCATTATGATGTTAAATCGTGATCTCTGTCTATTAGCAACGGTTGCTTCAGCCTCTTGTTCGAGCTGTGGGTCCACAATCTCCACAATCTGATCAGGTGAGGTCATTCTTGCATAATGATGAAGATTAAATCCTCCTTCAAAGAGATTGTCAGTGGGCTTCTTTCCTGTCATCATCT